TGAGTTCATAAGCAAGTTTGATGTAAAGATGTTTTGTATCGTTTGTAAAACCCAGAAAATCCGATATTTTCTTAAACAAAAACTTTTTACGAAAAAGTTGTGATGATCCCATAAGTGTATATGTATGTGATTTCAAAACATGTAACAATGAATGTTCATCATAATTGTTCTTTGTATTGTAGTTGTTGTAAGTAAAAGTGAATAATGTCGTTCCCCGGAAAACCCGATGTTTTCCAATTCAAATAGTATGATAGTATCGTATTATTGTATGAATCACTTTGCATCGTCACAGTGTATGAATATGATTACTCATGAATGATGATATGGTAATGGATATCTATGTGAGTCGTTATAACCATGCATAATAATGACTATTTCTCCTGTCTTGGCATTTTTCCAAACGCCGGTTTTTGATCAAGATTTTGTCACCCTAGACTGGCCGAGTCTAACTGTAGCGAAGAACTCAGGTGTGGGGGAGTCACCCCCGTATAGATCTATACACAAACTCTCGCTCTCCCTCCAGGAGACTCTGATTATAACTACAGGCTACGACCGACACTCGTTGGTGCCAACCGATAATTCTCACTAAAATCCCACTTATTACCCCATGAATTTGAATAACATTGATTACTTCCCGTTTGATGTTTACGTGAATATGAAATAAGCCTAACAGGCAAGAAAGGGGACGACGGAGGCCCACTAACTTTGTATGTTATTACAGCCTGTCGAGTATGCTTACGGACACGTTAGTACATCAAGCATATGATGGATTTGGACCATACTAGCAATGCAAATTGGCCACTAAGGCCCAATAACATGTAAAAGCACGAATAGGAAACATTGGGGCCCAACCATTGTATTGTTTCTCCGTTCTTCGATATGTGTGTAGTTTAGAATTTGTTTACGCTTAGTATTTACTTTCAATGGTAAAACACTCGACGTTGGATTTATAACGACACTTTGATTATAAACATATACCTTCACATACGTGTGTGCGTGTGTGTATATATATATATATATATATATATATATATATATATATATATATATATAAACTCATACGCTATAAACTTAATATCTTTGGCCCGATTGTTTTAATATTAACATATTTGACCCCAAAATATTTATTTGACCATTTCAGCCCATTTTCATATAAAGTTACAATTTCAGCCATTTCTTAGTAAAAATGACATTTTTAGTCCTTTTTGGTGAAAATTGACATTTTTGGTCCTTAAATCATTTTTCTTAACATTTTCGGCCCAAACATAGTTTATTTTACAATTTCAGTCCCAAAATACAATGGTTGATATTTTTAGCCCTTATTTGTAAAAAGATTACACTTTTGGCCCAAATTTCGTAAGTTTTACAATTTTTGCCCAATTTCCAAAAACCTTGCATTTTTAGTCCAATTTAACAAGAAATGTCATTTTTAGCCTTGATTTCTACCCATTCCCAGTTTTGGACTCGAGTTTTGCATTAATGCCCTTAGTGTTTAAAATTTTCGCATTTTGGGCCCAAAACCGTGAGGCCCATTATTTAGGCCCAAATGCTAGAATTTATATTTTTGGCCCCTTGAAAAGTATTATTATCATAAGAACCCAATTATAAGCTAGTATTTACCATTTTCATCCTTGAAAAACCGAAAATATCATATTTTACCCAAATCTTTGTTATTTTTGCAAAAATGGCACTTTTAAGGATTTTTGTCTTTGTTTTTACTTCTTAAGCATAAAAACTCTTGGATCTTTGAAGTATGTTGTTTATTAGGTTATTTGTTTATGTATCCTTCACACATTATCCATAATTTCGAGTTATAACAAATAATATCATATTTTCACAACACTAAACCAAAGAAATCACATATAACAAGCATACACACATAGATCAACACATAGCACTTGTATTCTCCCCCCAAAAACAAGTAAAAACCGAAAACAAGGGGGTATGAACTCACCTTGGGGTTTGATGTTTCGGTTTTGAAGAAGATGGAAAAGATTGATGAGATTCTCGGCCTTAACAATCTTCTTGAAGAGACCTTCGAATTTGAAGAGTTCTAGGGAGTATGATCAAGAATTTAAGGTGGTAAGAAGAGTGATTAAGTTGTAGAAAGAAAGTATGTTGACAATATCTTACCACAAGTATGTATCTTGGAGTGATTTTTGGATGAAAACCTTCTTGAAATGCCCTAAATCTCAAAAATTTGGAAGGAAGGGAAGAAGATGTTTTTTAGAGTGTTTGAAATGTAAGTTTGAAGATGTGTGTGTGTGTGCTAGCTCTCGGCCGAGAGGAAGAAAAGAGAGGGAGAAGAAAAAGGTGAGGTGACTTGCATGGAGATTTGAGACACCCCTAGATGTATGTGAGGTATTAAGCCTTGTTATCGTTTGAATAAAAATGATGTGTCATGGCATTACTAAACCTCATTAATCTTTTTTTTTAAACTTGGGCCGAAATGGGGAATTTATGGAAAGGTTTGGGCCTTATCTTGGCCCTTACTCGAAATTATAAGCCCATAAGAATGTTTTCGGCCCATTGGGCTTTTGAGATGGTTCGCGGCCCAACTAATATAAAAGAATGGGTTTTATGGCACATTAAAGCTAATTAGATTTGTTATGGCCCAACAAGGCCCATTAAAGGTAAACTAATCCATTTTGGACTTATAAGGCCCAAAAAGGTTAAGTCTCATGAGAGTGGGTCCAATTAGAGCCCATTTAAGAGTTCTAAGCCCAAAATAGTCAAATTGGAAGCTTATTGGTCCATTAGGCCCAATAAGGAAATCCTAGTCCATATTGGACTTAAACCGGGATTTTCAGGGTTTCCAATCTTTCGTTGACCATTTGAAGTGTTTGTATAGAATGTTTGATAGAATTTTGTTGTCATTGAATAAACATCATGCATGCTTTCCAAATTTGTGAACAAAGTGTTATCATCATTGTTGTTACAAAAGCATGGAATTTCCTAGTTGTGACAATTGTACTAGACAATTTTACGGACCCTTCACCTGTAACAGGTGCCATACCTCCATTTGCTGTATGTACCTTAGGTTGTTTAGGGATGTGAGAGGTTATCAACTTTGATGAGTAAGGTTACTTTGAGACATACCGGTGTGAGTGGATGTGATATGTTGCCCCTGTATCTATTATCCAAGTATCATTTCGAGTAAGGTTACTTTGAGACATACCGGTGTGAGTGGATGTGTGAGCAGCGATTGGGACGTTCGGTTCATTATTTTGAGGAGTTGTGGTAACAGTAGCTTAGATGATCTTCTTTCTGGGTTTCTTTGTGAAGTCACACCAGTCGGGGTACCCAATAATCTCATAGCATCTGAGCTTGGAGTGTCCCTCTTCCCCACAATGTGTGCATGTATGTGTGTTTCCTTTGCTGTTCGAATTCTTTCCTTTTTGAATACGATTTCTAGTAGCCAAATGAACCACGCTATCAGGTTCATGTTTTTGTTCCTCCATGGTCTGTCTTTGGCTTTGATCTTTCCGGATATAGGCATAACAGGACTCCAAACTTAGAGGAGGATCTTTTCTGAGAATTTCACTTCGAGCCTGATTGAATTCAGGATCCAGTCCAGCCAGGAAGATATGCACACGGAAACGAGATATGGTGTTGTTCACATAGACAGTTTCGTCCACTGATTCTTCTTGGGTGGTTAAGCGAGTATCGATTTCTTGGAAGATGCTCACCAACTCATTGTAATATGTTGATAAGGCACGTCCAGATTGTCGTGTACTGAATGATCTTCTGTTTAGTTCGAACAACTGAGTTTCATCAGTCCCATCATAGAAAGTCTTGGAGACTGCATCCCATATTTCCGCTGCTGTTTGGAGACGGATGAATCGACGGATGAGAGACGGAGTCATTGAGTCGATCAGCCAGCTTTTGACTTTGTTATTATCAATCAGCCATGTTTCGATCTCCTTTTCACCTTCTTTAGGCTTCGGTGTTTTTCCGGTAAGATAACCAGATTTGTTCCGAGCTCCGATCCTCATCTCCATTAGTTGAGACCACAAAGGGTAGTTTGTGTCACCGAGAATGACTCCTCCTGTTGGAAATGGCGTATCTTGCACATTTTGAACGATAACTTGTGAGGGATTTGACGATTCTCCTTTGTCACCCATTCTTCAAGGCTTCGATAATACGTACGAGGTCCTTCGATTTGATCAGGTATGCTCTGATACCATGTGAAACTGAATATGAGTACTTGTGGAGGAAGAATTCTACCGTATTTCATATATTCAATAATCAACAGAGGAATACATTTATACAAGAAACAAAGAATAACAAACTATCCTAGTTTACAGTCGTAATAAAAAAGATATCAATTACTTATCTTATACAACAACCATTTCCCATGTTTGACCTTATCTACACCCGGTTTTGCTCTCGTCAAGAATTTATATACATAAACACATAATTAGTCGCATTATACAATGAACTCGAGCGTACCTTGAATGTATTGTGTTGGGTAATGCATTAATTTATTCATATTATTATTATTATATTTTTCTATTACAGTTATTTGGTTGAGTCGAGTGTATGTTTGATTTAATATAATCAAAACTATTTGTATGATTTCTAGAATGAAATACTATTTGTTTAGAGTTTTATTTTTTCACAAATAATTGTTTTGATGGGCCATAGTTTGATTTAATAGGCTTGATTTTATATGTGGCTTCTACTCAGCTAACGTGGGTATTAAAAAACTATAGCTTTAACTGGAACAAAGTGTAGTCTCAAGGGAGAAAATGCAACAGATACAAATGAAAATTATGGAAGTACCTTTTTATATTTAAAACATTTTCACCCATTTGGCTCACTCAATGTGATCGAGTCGAATCAAAATAAATAATTCATAGTTTAATGTGGTAAAAGATAAGTATTTATTCTTAAATCATATTGATTCAAACCATAAAGAGACATAGAATTATAGATATATATAGATCGAATATATTGTAACCATAAATTCAAACAATGCATACTTATTTAGCCAAAACTCAAATACCATCACGCTCAATCTTACAATAATCAAGAAATTTTACCAAAACACCAACAATGATCACTCTTAAAATAATCAACAAGATTTACCAAAACACCAATAATGAAGGAATTTACATATAAAGGAAAGGAACTACTTCAAACTCTTCAATACGTATTCTTCAACAAACTAACAAATCCACATCCCCCCAAAAGGGTTTATTTTAAAGTACCCATTATTACCGATTATTTAACTTTTTTTACATAGAATCTGTCCCATCTTCTTCTCAATTTCAAACCGTGGGTCCCGCAAACGAGAAAATGACAGCAATGAGTAAAGGAATGAAAAATATTACCTGAATCTAACCACAACACACGATATGTCGTCTTTACTGTCTCTCTTCAAAGCTTCGGCTATTAACCGCTTAGCCGCCTTTTGAGGGTCCTTAATTCTCCTTGCAATGTCAACCGCTTCTTGATTATCCATTACCTGGATTCATCAATAACAATAATTATAAATTTCCAAATCACATGACAGAACAGACTGTACTGCGTTTGACTGGGACTGAGACTGATGTCAATGCGTGTCACATCCACTCCAGTCCCATGTTATGTCATGTCATGTCCTGTGTGTGTAACAGAAGCAGTTAAAAGGGAAAGATGGAAAGAGGGATGACCTTCCAAAGACCATCGCTTGCCAAGACAAGAAGATCGGTTTTGGAATCCACAATTGTATCTTGAATAGCAGGGTCAGATCGCAAATGGGATTTTAGGCTTTTGTCACCGAATGCACGAGAAACCGCCAGCTGTCCGTTTACGCGAGGTACATCTCCTGATGAAAAGAAACAAACAAATAGCCATTGCTTTCCGTAAATTATTTATTTGGAATAAAAATCTTTTATACCTTTTTTTTGACAAGAATGGAAAGTTGATTATCACATAAACGCACTTTATAGGTTTTGATTTGTAATTAGTAATTAGTAATTTTGTATTAGTAACTGCTAAGTGTGTCTTTAGTTGTTCTTAAGTGTTCATTAGTTACAATTAGTAGGAAGGAAAGAATCATCAAATGACAAATATACCCCTAGGTAAAGGATGGAGGGACTGAGATTCTTATAAATGGGCAAGAACACTACAAGTGATGCCATGGTGGTGGTGAAAATGTTTTACTAGAAAGAGTAGAGCTGTCATTCTATGTGTTCACAGAGAGAAAAAGGAAAAATTGAGCAAGATGACTAAAATGACGATATTACCCCTGAAGAGCAAGAATTTAACAGGTCATACCACACTTGGGACGATGATGTCACCTTAGAAGTCGAATGAAAAAAAAAATGAAATCCCTAGAATGGCAACTTTACCCCTGTGGTTGAGGGAAAAAAAGGAATGAAATCCCTAAAATGACAATTTTACCCGTGAAGAGCAAGAATTTAAAGGGCCATACTACATTTGGGGTGATGATAGCAAAGTAGAAATAGCAAAGTTGACAGCAAAGAGAAGAGCAGGAGCTTTGCCCTGGTTAAACGATAAAGGAACAAGAGCCCTAAAATGACAATTTTACCCTTGAAGACCAAAAATTTAATAGGCCATGCAACACTTGAGTTGATGATGGCAAGATAGAAATAGCAAAGGAAAGACTGGGAATTTCCTAAAAATGGCAACTTTACCACCTATTGAAGTAAAAAAAGGAGCGAAACCACTAAAATGACGATTTTACCCTTGAAGAGAAAGAATTTTTGGTCATAACACATTTGGGAATGATGACAGCAGAGTAGAAATAGCAAACAACTTCACCCCTAACTGAAGTCAAAGTCCTCTTTCAAAAAAAAAAAAAAAACTGAAGTCAAAGTCAAAGTCAAATAGTGATTGCTTTCTAGGGGCAAACCTGGCATATTTGACACAAAGCCTCCTTTATGCTCAATGCTAACCCTTTCAGTGCTAGGCTCATGATCAGTGCTCATCTGTATAGCTTCACCTCCTTTTGAAACAACAGCTCTTGAATCACCCAAATTTGCAACCCACAGCCTTTGACCCTTTATAAGAACAGCTGTAACTGATGTGGACCCACCTCTCCCCAAATCAGAATCATGTGAAAGAATCGCTTCATCAGTCTTCTCATACGCTTTTGATATCGATCTTTTTGGGTCAACCCAAAAATCACTCTGCAAAAAGTATGTCAAAAGTCAAACATAAAAAAACCGATAAATAAAAGAGTGATTTCACTTTATGAACCAATGCATATGGATTTTCAATAAATAGCAACACTTCATTTTTGTTTTTGGTCATTGAACAATAATTGATAGTTTCTATAATCACTTCGAAAGTCGTTATAAAAACTAGGGTAAATTACAAGTTTGGTCCCCATGCTTTACTCATAATTGCAAGTTTGGTCCAATTCACTATAATCTTCCCCTTAATGAAATGCAAAAGCAAGAAAGATTTTAAAAACATGGACCAAATTTGGAATTTTGAGTAAAGCATAGGGACCAAATTTGTAGTTTACTCTGAAAACTATCAAACTTTCTCTACATGTTACCTAATATAATCAAATTTTGAATTTAAGTACGATATTTGAAGTCCAATAACCAAATTAGAAATGAAATAAAAAAATGTTGCTATTTATAGCAATTTATCCAAACAAACACAATAGTTTGCAAAAACGAATGGATTTAGACAATAATGGAGATTAGAATGCAAGAAAAAAACATCATCCCACATAGCATTTTTGTCCAAAATCACTCATTTTTGAAAGAACAAAGAACAAAAATGTATTTGCAACTAATAATCATAAAGTTTAGCATTTAAATAGTAACATTTTAGGTACACAAAAGTACATAAAATACACACCTCATTCAAGATGTTATCAAACAAATGTTTTTGAAGATAGGAAGGGACACGATCACCCGAATGGCCATCATAAATGGCAAATAAACCGAGTTCATGTTCATCAACTTCAACAAACCTAGCAACATGATAATCTTCCATTGGATGATTAGCTTTTCCTTTGACCAAGTCAAACCCAAACTTGATGTTACCCTCATGGTTTTTTCCCTTACCAGAGCTATAAGATGAAGGACCTCCTATGAACTATAAAAAACCAAAAAATGTTAAGAGCAGAAATATAAAAAATGAAAAAGCAAAATTCATATAATAGATGCATTTGTACAACTTGAAAAGGGAATTATGTTGTTTTGTAGTATAGAGATGAATATAAAAAAATTGTTATTCTAGGGCATCCCTTAAAAGATAAAGAGAAACCTGCAATAATATTAGATAGGTGAGGTATCATTAACATTAGTGATACACTTTCTTAAATCATCATATATGTTTTTACTTTACAAACTGACCATCATTATTGCAAAAATTACAAGAGAAAGCTGTAATTGCAAGAATAATTGTTAGTTTGCAATGAAAACCAGTCATTCTAGCTAAGAGACAAAAAAATCTTTCAAAATTTGCAAGAAAACCATGGTTTGAAAAGTCAACAACAAAAATAAGATAAGCTTCTGATGGTCTACTGCCTCAAGTTTGCTTTGTTTTCCACAAGGAACAGTGGTAAAACAAAAGGAAATGAAACTGGCTTTTGATCAATCAAATTTATCCCTAATTAAGTTAGATTCCGAATGATCTATTAATCAGAAGAAAGGAATCGAGCAATTTCATCCTGAAAACATAGCTAAAACGAAAAAACAAAAAAATCCTCATAGATAAATAGAATATTTGATCATCTAACTACATAGGAAGAACAATCCGCTATCAAATTGAAGGATTATAAAGTAAAGCAGAGTAATAGAAATTACCTGCAAACAGCATAAATTTTCCATCAAATAATCTGCAAACAAGATATTCTTAACATCCAACACTTCGAAGCCAAACCCACATGAAAACGCAACCGAATTTAGGGATTTCACTAACCAAGCGATCGAAAATCCGACAATCTATAAAACCCTTCAAACAGAAAACCCTGTAACCCAAAAATCGAAATGAAGAGTTAATGGAAACAAGGGACCAGTCTAATAATCAGCAGATTTCAGCAAATTGTTTGCTTCCACGAAACAATCATGATTAAAAATGTTAGTGTCAATTTCGCAGTCAAATAGAGGCTCAATTTTGGTATATATAAACAGCTTTTCAATTCTTCTTTCGGCATTATAGAAAGAAAAAGAATGGGGCGAAAGACTGATTCGCGCGTTGACTTCAGATGTTTGTTGACCAATGCCGCGTCGAATTCTCTTATTGGAATTACCGTTATACCCCTGTCCAAGAAAAAACGTTGTTGGACCCCTCAGGGTCCATGGCAAAGCTTGATATGTCGTTTTTTCTAATTTTTTATAGTAAATAAATTAAAAGCGTAATATATTATGTTCTGTATATATATTTAATTATTAAATTATTTTTTATATGTGATTTATATCATACCGTTTTAGTTCTTAAAATTTATTATTACGTAGATATTATGATAACATAGTTTTTTTTTTGGAAACGAAACTTCTCTAACGAGAGTTTCAGACCAGCTTTTGTGCACCCACTAATCATTCGCCACAAACATGAGACTATGTCTGGAGTCGCTGCAAACGAACTTCCATGGCCATAGATATTGAGTACTGTCAGAATTTGAACATGTGTCAATAAGTTATCTACCATATCTTCTACATGTTTTGCCAAATCATCATAACCCAAGTGGTTATGATAATGTCAGACGTTAATTTACTATCGTTGTGTACACATTTAGTGTCCAAATTATTTTTTTTGTAAACGATTTAATATAAGCTTTCTTCGATTGTTCAAAAACTACTGTTATGATCGAGTATTATTGGTGCATGTTGGGTTTAGCATTGTGTTGTTAAAATGGATCTAATACATAATTGTGGACTTATATGGAGTGGGTAAGTCATCTAACTCAAATACAAACAAGGTTTAGCAATGTCATCTTCTTTTGCATTTTTAACTCAAATATGAAAGGACAAGCCAAAATACCATTCAATTGTGGCTTATCTTATTCGAATCAAAAACTTGGACTAATGATAATCCTAGAAGAAGGTTTAGGATGTTCCCGAACTCTTGACTTATCGTTTGAGTTATACCTCCCTATGTAACATTTTATTTTATTTTTGTTTCTTGAGGAATCCAAATAAAAAATCTCTTTTTTAGGAATAAGTTGATTAACACCCGATAGTTAGCGATATCCCATTCGTAAAAATCATGTATCTACAAAGTAAAACCTCATGTAGAAACATTTACCTACAAATTAGTTGATTAAGAACCTACAAATGAGTGAGATGTCGTTTCCATAAGAGGAGTAACTTATGGCATACATATTGAATATAAGTGCACAACTACATATTATATCCGTATCAGTCAAATAAATATAAAATTATCATTTACCTATAATGCCCAATTATAATAGTATTTTTTGAGCATGTCAAATCATCATTTACCTATAATGCTCGGCCATGATATTATTTTTGGACAAGTGAATAAAGTTTAATAGTAAATCGTGTACAATAATATTTTAATGACTAAGGTGTTGTTTGATAACCTTTGAATGACTAATGTGTTGAACCAAACAAATCCCAATAAAATCTTATGTATTTGATGTCATGTCTTATATTAAATCAAACACGTCAAGTGATAACACATATGAATAATAAATACATCAACACGCCTCAAACGATCTTCTCACGTCTTACATGTAATATATATTGAATGAAATAACGGTTATGCGGAAAACAAATCCTAGTAAGATATGTCAAAACTCAATGAATCAATTAGAGCTTTGTATAATACCATAATGCCACCATATATATTTACCAAATTACTTAGTGTTATAAAATATGTTAATGTATATACTACTTAATGTCATTTTCTTAATTGTGACATCCTCATTTTCATGGTCAGAAATTACCTTTTTATTTATACTTATTCTAAAACAGAGTATTATTTATATTGCAAATTTTTGTCCATAAAGTATTTCCGAGGAAATGTTTTTCATTGATTTATTAAAACTTAGGATGTTATATCTGATACAAGAAACATAAGCATAAATATAGTCATTACATGCCTTACAATATCTTTTATACTATAGTCTATTTTTCCTCGAATCTTTCATCATGTCTGAACATCATTATCTTTTGTATTGTTTCCTGTGATATAAAGAAACTGAGTGGTCAAGTTTTGAAACCTAGTGAGTACATAGGGTTTTCAACCCATAATATTATAATCTTTATTTATATATTTTCAGAAAACATTTAACCCAGTTACTCATTACCGTTATTCTCATTTCCTAATCATTAAATAATGATCTCGAAGGATCTCTCCTAAAGGATCGTTTCTCAGCAACGGTCGTCATATATTCTTCCTTAAACATCTAGGCATAATAGTACAATAGTACTTTAGCCACAACACAACAGTATGATAGTACTTTGGTCACGACACAATAGGTCACAACTTATTATTTCGCACAGCCTTGTACTAACTAAAATTTTCCTAGATAACTAGTCACGGCAGTACAATAGTACTTTGGGTGAGCACATTAGTATGATAGTACTTTAGGTAAACACACCATGTCACAACTTATTATTTTGCACAACCCTAACCTATCACAATCTCTCGTCTATTATTTCATACAGCCCTTCACTACCCAATCATATTTTAAGTATGATAAAATATATATATATATATATATATATATATATATATATAGTTTAATAAAGTAATAGTTATATCATGTTGCAAAAATATATTAAACACAACTAAACAACACACATAGCATTTAAGCAAATACTTGTATGTATGTGTAAGTTTGAAAGTAATTATGCACTCACTTGACTTAGGTGGATTGACTGGTGATTTGGGCAGAGATTCGTCTAACACCTTAGTTTTTCCTTTGACGAGACCTAAGTACGAATGTCACTGAGTCTTAGTATTATATTCCTGACAACTAATGATAGTCTGGATTCTTCACTAATCCCAATGTCTACATCAATATCTATCAAGTAATGAACAACCAGGTAGGATCATATTAGATGTAGGGTCCATTTTGTATACAAAGTATGATGTTTGGAAATCTCACTTTAAACACCTCATTAAATCCATCCTAGACATCATTCTGGTAAGTAGATCGATCAATATAGTAACTTGGAATCACTGATAAATCTTATTTATAGGTTTATAATAACAACTGTGAACATAAACATAAGTTACATTTGAAATAAAATAAGTGCATGTAACACCCGTTTTCCAGATTGGAACAATATAGTGCTTAAAAGAGTCAAAGGAATGATTTTTGGGAAAAATTATGTGTCACGACGTGACGAGCCAATACAAGATTACGTACCCAGAAGAATGCCACGACGTGACATGAGTATGGTCACGATGTGGCAAAGGCTGCAGCCCAAGCCCATGATCTTTTAGGGTTTTCCTTCATATTTAAACCCCTAATATCGTATTTAGGGTTCATTTTCAGCCTCCATCACTCTCAAGCCTCATAAACCCTAACCTTAATCCCTATTGGTGATTTTGGCTCATTTTGGTACTTTTGGTAGCTTGAAGAAAAACAAGAAGGTGTTCTATTATGTTGATACAACAAGGAATACTCATCGTCATCCTCTTGTGCATATTTTGGACCTTTTTAAGTGTCCAATATTCAAGCTTTTTGGTTGCATGTGTTCTAGATCTAAGTGTTTTTGTCCCTTTTCTTCATGTTTTGGAAGTTTGGAGGAATGGATCCCATAAAGTTGGCTACTTTATGGATCTTTGAGGTCCTTTTGGTGTTATATATTGTAGATCAAGAGTTTCTTGGAGTTTTTGGTCCCATGAACAAGTTTAGTGCATTTCTTCATGATTCTAACCTAGTTTGGTAAGAGACATGCATTGGACATGCATGTCCATAAAGCAATGATTTTTATGGTGGTTTAGGAGTAGGAAACCCTTATGGAATTTGTGGACTTGAGATCTTAAGGATTAAGTTCTTAATGGTTAGCTTTATGCCTTAAGTTGCCATTATAGGACCTAGGTTTAAAGATCTTGGCTTATTGGGATGTATTAATGGATAAAGTTGGAAACTTTATCCATCAAGACCTTGGGGATAATCAGATATGAGTTTGAAACCTCTTAAGAATGAATGAAATGGCTTAATCCATTAAGCTGTTCAGACCTAGTTTCCACGACGTGGCCTTCTGGCCGTCACGATGTGGCGATTGGGGATCAACTCGACTGTTTTGGCATTTTGTGATTATGACGTGGCTATAGGGAGGCCACGACGTGGAGACTTGCTGGTGATGATTATTGACTTTGACTTTGACCATTGACTTTTGGTCAAATTTCTATTTTTAAAAGGTAGACTTAGGGTTTACCTTGTGTGGTTTATTAGGAGATTTTTAGCACCCATTCGTTGGCTGTGAGAGTTGTTAGTTGTGGACTGTGTCGACAAAGTGAGTTTGTTCACTATACGATGTAGGATGCTAGTTGTCTTCGTGACTCTTGTGTTAGTATGATGGGTCGGGACCGTTTGTATGTTGGGTTGGTCCTGTTGGTATGTTGGTCTGACCCATTGGTATGATGGGTTGGCACGTTTGTATGTTGGACTGCACATGTTTGTATGTTGGGTTGGGCCTATTATATGTTGGGTTGGGCCCGTTGTATGATATGTGGTATTTTGGGGAACTCGCTAAGCTTTGTGCTTACGATTTTGTGGTTTAAACATTTTTAGGTACTTCCAGTTCCAAAGGGAAGGGCTCGATTTGACTGTACAACATCCCCTGATGGTTTTTCCGCATTGATTGTTCTTGTATTACTCTGATGTTTGAAAAATATATTTTACTCTAATTGGTTTTGAACAAATGGTAGGACGAATTCGATGGTTTTAAAATGAAAATTTTGGTTGATATTTTTAGGATGTTACAAGTTGACATCCCATTCATCCTCTACTTCTTTTTATGGAGGTCACAAAATTGCTTTTGACATACTTTTTCTTTGACCAACAATCCTTGGACATGTGACAAGATTTTCCATAATTTTGTAGTTTCCTTCGAACCTCCTCCACCGAGAACTCTTATTATTAGTCCTTTGAGGTCTCCATAGTTGTGAGGTTCCTTGTTGACTCTTTCCCATGTCAACATTTTTGCATCCTCCTTTAGCAGGCGGCTTGAAATTCCGCTGACTTTTAATTGTGTAAAGTGCTTCCTCTTCACTCTTCAACGTGATGCCTCCTATTTTCTTAGTCATAGCTTATTGGATGGCTATCAAATTCTCAAACTCTACAATTGATGGTTGAACATTCCATCCTTGTATAATAG